TTTCCGTTTGAGGTGGTAAGAGAGAAGCCATCAGAATTTAAGACCTGGCTGAACAAAAGGCGTCTGAGCCGGTGTTAGATTATATTCAGCATGTGGCGGCGCCGTACTTATATCAGCGAGCAAAACAGGTAACACCATTTGATAGTATGCAAGATGATGGGGGTTATGATAGGACGCTTATCCAATGTTCGATACGAGTGGCTTGGTACTGTTGGCTGAAGAACTGAGGGAGTCTATGGAAGAATTAGTAGAGTTGGTGGCGGCTATTAGGAGGGTGGCGTACAATGACAAGAAGCCAAAGTTTGTGAAGGATCGGATGCTCAAGCTTTAGATCAAAGAAGAAGGGGCGCCTTTGAGACAAGTATATGCGGAGAAAGATGTGCGACTTATATAAGTGATGAAGAAGAAGGTGCAACTATTGCTTGAAGCTGGGTTGATGGTGAGGGTGTAAGATATGGATTGGCTTACAGTGCCGAGACTTGTGCCTAAAGTGCCGGGTAGTAACCCCAGTTATGAGGAACCTAAGGATTGGAGGATGTGCATAAATTATATGCATACGAATTATCAGCTAGATTCGGGTACATATCCGATACCAACAGAAGATAAGTTTCTGGCAACAATTAAAGGGCGCAAGTGGAGAACCAATGTGGACGCTGGAAATGGTTTTGGACAGTTAATGATAGAACCTGGTAGTCGAGGGGTTACGAAAGATTCCAATTTATTGGGATGCCGTTTGGTTTGAAGGAAGCGTCATTTGTGTTCCAAGAACTAATGGATGAGACATTGGAAGGAATTAAAGGAACTAAGACGTACATTGATGATACCGCGTTAGTTTCGAATGATCCAACTGAGCATTGGGATGGTATTGTGGAGATGATCAGGCGCTTTCAGGCAAAAGTGATACAGCTACGGCTGTCAAATTGTAATTTCGCTTATCGAGAAGATTCCATAGTCGTGATGGGTCGAGAGGTTACAGATAAGGGTTCGATGATAAGTGAAGTAAAGTTTCAGGCCTGATTAGATATGCCCAGGCCCAAAACCAAGGCCGAAGTCAGGTCGTGGTATCAGTGTTTTGGATGGTGGGCGAGATACGTTCCGAATTTCTCAAATGTGTTGGCTCCGATTAGTGATTTGACTAAGAAGAAGGTACGGTTCCAGTGGGGTCCTGAGCAGGAGAAGGCTTTTCAGTCGGCTCGGAAGATTTTTTAGGCGAAGACAGTCTTGGTAAAACCTAGACAAGAGGAGCAACTTAGGTTCAGACAGATGCGTCGGATTCGATTATAGGTGCTTGCTTATGTGCGAGAAGAGATGGAGAATGGCTTTCTGTGGGCTTTTGTGAGTTCCAAGATAGATTTCCATGCTAATTTGTCTCCGACAGATAGAGAGTTGATAGCGCTAGCATATGTGTTTTTTGAAGTTCGCGGATTTAATTAGGAGATCGTACAAGGTGCTTATAGTAGAGATATATTATCAGCCTTTAATTGGTGTGGTTCAGCAGGTAGAGTACACGTCTGATCCAGTGGTTAAGAGATGGTACAGGAAAGTTATGTATGTACGATCGTTTGATATGGATCTACGGTACCTGGAAGGGCCAAAAAACAAAGTTGCGGATGGACTTAGTCGTATGCCTGTATCGGTAGAGGGTGTCAAGTTCGCTGCATGTGCAAAAATGGGTCTGCCAGAGATTGATGAAGGTGTGGATTTGTCATTTGATAAAGTCTGCAAGAGTGTGGAAGACAGGAAGTTCGGTTGGCGGTGGTTAAAGAGAAGCTGCTGCGAGTGTTAGAGGAGAGTCGTGATGACAAGGTCAGTGCCGACTTCAAGGTTCGGGTGGGTTTATTGCATCAGCAGGCTACTGCAGTGATGGAGAGAGGTATTACTAAGATGTGGGATCCGGATGTAATGACTAGCTAACAGCTTATGTGTATTGGTCTAAGTGTATGGTCAGAACTTGTTCAGCCTTTGCAAGAGAGTGTTATTACGCTGGTGCATCAGAATTTAGCGCATGCTGGGGTGGATAGGATATGTAACTTTCTGAAGATTAAGTATGGAGAGGAAGTGTTGCGTTCGCAGGTTGTGAAGGTTTTAAAGAGGTGTGTTGCGTGTCAACAAGTTGAGGGGCTTCGTGAGACTACAGGGATTGTTAGTGCAGCCCGAGAGGCCGAAAGGGGTTGCAGTGTGTGTAGGCATGGATCATTTGACCTTGCTAAGGACAGTTCACGGTTTCGAAGGTATAGTAGTGGCCATAGATCATTTCTCGAGGATGGTGTGGTATCGGCCATACACGTTGGAAAAGAAGAATACTAAAGTGGTATTAGAGTTTGTTCAACAACAAGTGTTTCCTTCGGGTACACCTAACAAGGTAGTGATGTATGAGGGTGGTCAATTCGTTTCAGCAGATATGAAAAGTTTCTGGGCAGAGAGAGGTGCAGAATGCCATTACGTAGGGTAGAGAGGGTCTTGCGTACGATTGTGGATTGACTTGCTAAGAGCTTGCCGGTTGGGGAGGAGGCCATATGGCCAGCATTTATATATATAT